TTATCCCAGGTCAGAACCCAGTCCTGCATCCTTACTGCCTCCTGAAACCTACCCCGAGTCTGCTCCCTCACTCCAGACCCTTTGCCCCAGTCCATGAACTCTTCATCCCTGGTCTCACCCCAGAGCCTAAGGGAAGCCCAGAGCCTCCATGCTGCTCCTCTCCCCGTGATGCTGTATGTAGCCTACAACTGATTTTTTTCTGTGGGTTAGTGGCCCCTGATAGAAAAACAGGTTCCCCACCCCTGCTCCAAAGCATGGGGTAATCTGACCCTAAGGAATATTGCACTTAGGGACAGCCTGGCAAAGTACACTAAGCAGTCAAAGTCACACATTTCCTCTAATTCACCTACAGTCCCTAACAGGTGCAGATGGACTCACTCTTCAGTGACATGCCACTTGCCATTCTGAACAGTTCCAAAAGATGTATGGAAGCTGCATGGTGCAGGGCTTTGGAGCAAAGCTTATTGTGCCGCTTCATTGCCTTTTAGCTCTGCTCTGCAGCGCCATGGGGAAGGGGTGATGGGGATGTGTTGTACTGAGCTGCTGGCGGGGGGGGTGGTAATGTGCATCTCCAGGTTCAGCTGCTCTCCCTGCTGGAGCACCCCGGGGAGGCTGCCAGAGAGGAAACAAACTAGGAGAGGCAGCCGTGGAAGTGATTTTTTTTCCCCCGCCCAAATCTGCCTCCCAACTTGGAGCTGTCCTGGGTCTCACTGGAGCCGCCACTGCCGCAGCCACATGCTTTTCCCATCAGTGCTGGGACACGTGCGCAGAGCGTCTGTTAATGTCCAGGCGCGCAGCTCCGAACATTCAATTTGACAGGCACATGCCGCTGCCCCCTCCCCAATTGTCGTTGCAAGGCAAAAACCTGGACATTTTTTGCCAAATTTCACTTGTGTTGCTGAAACTCCCAGACTTCCACTGGTTGACAAACAATGATCTAGACTGACATCCTGTATCATGTTAAAGCCTTTGTAATAATTAAACCACAGAGGTGGAAGAGTTTTAATGATCAGTATCTGATATGCCACTGAAAGGTACAATATATATGCAATGTGGGAGGGGGCACTATTTTATTAAGCACTAAACAAAATAGCATCCAGTTTACCTGCCAAAAAACACAGTGTTATATTTAATAAAATGTTTATTGAAGTAACAATTGTACAATCAGATATCAGATTTTAATTGCAGTGTCAACAAATGAAACACTGTGTTACCTCGTATTTGTGTAAGTATGAAATGTGGCACATAGGAGAAATAACTTCAACTGTCTATGATTTTTAAAATGTATTTGACGTTATAATATACAGTTAACTGAAGCATTCATGTTAGACCTTAACCAATAAGTAGAGGATTAGGGTATTAGAGCTCAGAAAACTGCATCTATTTTAAAAGATTTCTTTTTATTGTGGTGATTGGAATAGATATAGAGACTTAGATGGAAAGGGGCTAGGAAGAATTTGAGTTGTGTTAAGCTTGTAGGTGCCGAGATGAGAAAGACCTGGGGCTGGAGCACCTACTGGCAGCCAAGCTCCCCCCTTCTCCTTCCCCCCAGAACATCTCATGAAATGGTGGCCCTGCTGATCAAATTCTTCCCCCTCCCTTCCAGAGCTTCTGGAGCACTGCAGACAGTTTATTCATGGCATTCAGGAAGCTCTAGGAGGAAAGGTGGGGCGGGGATTGGGTGCACTCAGGGAAGGAACCAGGAAGAGGTAGGGTAGAGACTTGGGGAAGAGGCAGGGGAGAAAAGGACAGACCTTGGGGAAGGGGATGGAATGAGGTAAGATGGGGGCAAAGCAGAGGCATGGTCTTGGGGAAGAGGTGGAGTGGGAGCAGGACCTATGGCATAGGGGAAGTCCAAAGTCCCCCAGATAGAGGGGAAGTCGATGCCTATGCTTCAGAGTAAGCCAAAAATGTATGAGAACATATAAGGTTTCATAAATTCATTCCTGAAGAGTTCACATAGACAACAGTAAAAAAGTACTTACAGTACAACAAGCATAAACAGATTTTTTTATTGCTAAATTTATCGTGTATTTGCTGTGATTAAATAAAGCAGACAGCAAACATAGCTGAATGGCTACCTCGTGGCTTTTCAGCTGTAATATAAATAAGCCAAATTGGTTATCAGGGAGTTATTTGACCTGACTTGTCACAGTACACAGGATCTTGCTATGTTATTGTCAACCTACAGATGGCACTCATGGTATAATATTTAGAAAAACTGTATAATGATAAATCTGCAATAAATGATCCCAAATGGGAAATATGGGAAATATGACCTCATACTTCCCAAGAAAAATATATGGATGCCATGCATACATCTGTGAAGCTGTAAGCTTCCTTTCATAAGGTTCAAAATAAGACAAATAAAACTCTAGATTATAATAAGCAGAGGGCTAGATTTTTCTATATCAAAACATATATAACCCATGACAGGAAGCTCAAGTCCTCCCCCTTCCCCCCAAGAGTCCTGCATCACTACTTTAAATTTAGCTAAATGCACTTTTTGAATGTTAATTTCAGAAAGGATCATATTGTATTAGGGACTTGCTAAAACCATCAAATGCCTCTAATGCAGTGATTCTCACTCTTACACAGCAAATCTCAGTGCAACCTCCCCTCCTACAAATGAAAAACACATTTTTAAATGTTAAATTTACAACCCTATTGTTGAAAATGAATTTACCTTCTCACTACTTTTAAATTCAGACTAAAACACATTTGTATTGAATTACTGTTATAAGCAAAACATTATTTTAGAAAATAGTTATTATTTAGTAACACAAAGAAACTTTGTCACTCCCTTTTCACAGAATACTTAGTGCCCCGTTGCCACTCTCAATTCTCTGCAGTGGCTGCTGCTGCTGCTGCTGGCAATGCTGCCTTCAGAGCTGGGTGCATGCACTGGCTTTGGCAGTCAGCCCCAGGCTGCTGGAGCTCTAGCTGTCAGCCATGCAAGGAGCCAAAGCCCCACTGCCCATGGTCTGACAGCTCACATCCCTCAGTTTGAGAAACCTTGCCCTTAATACATTATGTTGTTGGATGGACAGGAATTTGCTAGGTTTCTGTGACAAGGTCAAAGTCTCTTTATGTTATTCAGCATTACATAATTTTAGTTATTACTGGTAGGTTTTCCTACTCATAATTATCTGCCAAAATAATAATATTAATTTGTTTTTCTGCAGAATGAAAAGAAAGCATGAGTGAATAAGATGCAGACTAAATGCTGGTACCAAATTTAGCCCATAAGTGCTGTAGATTTTTCTTAGCCTTATTAGAATAGAGAGTATACACGTTCAGCCTGGAAAAATGTGAGCATTCAAGATCTACTTTGTTTAGACTTCTCAGAAAACAGTAGATCTTGTAGGGGGTTTCACCACAAATAATTTCAAATATTGGAAGTAAGATCTTTTTTTAAAGGAAGTTTTCGGCGATCAGTGAAACAGCTGATTTGCAAAGTACCACACATGGGGAGAAACACAGGGCCTATGTTTGGAGTTTGGCTGTATGGATTGGCCATTCAGTCTTTGGAGCTTGTTTGGGAGTATTCATTATTCTTATGGGCCTTGTTGGATTTTCCAGTAGAATGGATCCAGTCAACTGGGCCAAGTTGGACCTCTTCACATGATTAGCATCTGTAAAAGGCTTCATATGACACATTCTTTTTTCTGCCTCTCAAGGTCAGTAGCTCAGTATGCCCATCTGCCTTTCCAGAAACTGGTGTAAGCAAGGGACATCATCTGGTAATCCTATTAAATATGGGCAGCTGCTACTATGTAGTCATCCATGAATTGTATTGTATAGTCAGATATCTATTCATTGTTCTATAGCAGCATTGACTGCCAGTCATGAATGAATCTATTAATTCTTTCTTTATCTGTCTGTTTCTGCTACCATCTATTTAGGCAGCTCTCTAATCCTCTTCAATTTTGTATCTTTTTTGTATTTTTTCCTTCCTGTAATGCTCTCATAACAGTAGATAGTTATCAATGGGGGCAGGTGCAAGGTGTGAAAGCTGCATCTGGAAAGTGTATATACCTTCAAAACTTGTGAACACAGATGGAGTCAGAGGTTTTAGGAAATAGTGCACTATGTGCGGAGTGGCCATAGCTTGCCCATCTGTGAATACAGCAGGCACTCCTGCTTCATACAAACACTCTGTGAGAAAGGGCTATGCCAAGGGTATCCAAGGGTATATAAAGGCTGTGCTGCTCCAGAATATATTCTTTCCTCTGGAATGGAGAGTCCAGGATTGATTTTCCCTCCCCCAAAAGTATTTGGCACTGAAGTATTTTAAAGATGGCTTACTCCATATACAGTAAACTTCCAATAATCCAGCACCTTTAGGACCCAGGGGGTGCCGGATTATCAAATATGACAAACTATCGGGATGGGGGGAGGGTTCTGAGGGGTCTGGGGTGACCCCTCTTACACAGCAAATCTCAGTGCAACCTCCCCTCCTACAAATGAAAAACACATTTTTAAATGTTAAATTTACAACCCTATTGTTGAAAATGAATTTATCTTCTCACTACTTTTAAATTCAGACTAAAACACATTTGTATTGAATTACTGTTATAAGCAAAACATTATTTTAGAAAATAGTTATTATTTAGTAACACAAAGAAACTTTGTCACTCCCTTTTCACAGAATACTTAGTGCCCCGTTGCCACTCTCAATTCTCTGCAGTGGCTGCTGCTGTTGCTGGCAATGCTGCCTTCAGCCACCCCAGACCGCCTCATAGCCCCCCTTCCGATAGTCCGGCTCTGCCCCAGGCATCCCTGATTCAGCCACTGCTGGTCAGTTTCAGCAGCGGCTGAATCGGGGACGCCTGGAGCAGAGCAGCTGGGGTGCTGCCAGACTGGTCCTGTAATGCCGCCCCTTGGTGCTGCGGGACCAACCTAGCAGCACTCCAGCTGCTCTGCTCCAGGCGTTGGGATGCTGCCGGGTTCCCCGATTCAGCGGCTGGTCAGTTTCAGCAGCAGCTGAATCAGGGAAGCCAGGCACAGAGCAGCTCCAATTGTCCAGCTGCCCGGAGCACTTCCGGGTTCCCAATGGTGCCGGACCATCAGAAGTGCCGGAGCATTGGAGTTTTACTGTAGTAGGATTTGGGATTCCAGCAGATACTATAGACCTATGCTAGTCCTAACAGCCCCAGTGGGATTGTAAAGATTATGTAGTATAGTGGTTCAAGAAAAGCCACCTAACAATACTGCTTGTTCCAATTACTGGAGGTAAAATTTGAAGAGGTTTATCCAAAAAAACATGTGTGGATGTTGCAGTGCCATTACACCTTAGGCAAGCTCAGTTTTTCTTCAGACTCATGGTCACAGTAACAAGACAGAAAGACGGACGAGCAACATAACTGAAGCCATGGCTTCCAAAGGATATTCCCCCAGGATAATTGGTCGGAGACTCTATGCAATGATTTGGTGTGGTTGTTTACTGCTTGTTGAATGACATCAAGGATTTCATAGAAATGATGCTCAGTCTGCGGTGTCAGTGGATTCTTCTCTCCGGGGTCTCTGGAGAGATCAAAGAGCAGTGGTGGGTTGTGGTGTGTCACAGAGCTTCCGGAGCAATAGCACACATGGGCATTATAGCAACCGTTGGAGCCTTCTGGATTAAAGTTTGGAGTGAAGAAAAAAGCTTTCCAAATTGATTCACCTGCAATTAAAAAAAAGACACAGCAGCTGACAAGATGAAATCCCTAAGACTTGTGAAAATCAAAATCAAACCATTTATGAGTCATTAATCTCAACCTTTACATGTGCAGTGTTAGTGCACAGAAGCCACAAAATATAGAAAAGCACAAAAAATGTTCTTGCGGTGTTCCACACCTATTTGGAGCAATTACAGTTACTTTATAGTCTTTATTAACACGTATAATAGACATTTTAAAATACCTTTACACTTATTTTCATGCCTCCCTTCTGCACAGGAGTGTGCCATAAACAGCCACAAACACAGATTCCAACTCTGTGGGTGCTCTGGGGCTGGAGCACTCACAGGGAAAAATTAATGGGTGTGGAGCACCATCAACACCAAGCTCTCCCATCTTCTCCCCCCACCCATGACTCTTACATGCCTACAGCTCCGCATTTGCCTCCTCCTCCCTTCCAGCATTTCCAGAACGGCAAATCAGCGTTCAAGTTCTGTGAGTGAAGGGGAGGAGTGAGGACAGTGCGCACTTGGGGGAGAAGGTGGGGAAGAGATGGGGTGTGGGTGGAGCAGGGGGGTAGGAAGAGATAGGGAGGGAATAGGAGCTTGGAATAAATGGTGTGGGGAGTGGGTACTGGAGAAGAGCAGACAGGTCAAGCACCCCCAGCAAGATGAGAAACTGATGCCTATGGCCACAAAGCCATTGCATTACCTTAAAATCTCTCATTACAACTTGTTCTACCATCATGGCATCATGTATGCTAGGTGGGGAATGGCAGTCTGTCCCCATCCATACACGGCCCCAAGAATGCTTACTGTAGGCATAATGGGGATGGAGTCTTGCTGCCCCTGAGTGCCTGTCCTCCCTATGGTCCAGGGCCCAGGAGGCTGGGGCCATGTGCTGCGTGGGGAGGTTGGGGATGTGTGCCCTCCTCTCTCTCTGTGCTCTGGAGTTGTAGAAGTTCAGGCCACCTGCTTCCCTACCTCCCTGTGATGGAGTCTTGGAGCCTGGACAGAAAGGGAGGGGCTAGGGATGGGCTTGGGTGCTTGTCTCCCCCAGCCTTACCTTTGCCCACCACTTACGTCTGCCATGATGCCTACAAAACACTTGACCATAGGAAGGCAGCTGATATTCCATAACTACTTGTTATTATGCAAACTGTAATCATCTCACTGTTACCTAGAACCTCTGCATCTGCTTGTTGTAGCTACCTGTTTTCCCTAGGTACATATGTAGATTGCAAGCTGTTTGAGGCCGGGGCTGTACATTAGATGGATGTAAAGTGACCTGCATAATAAGCCCCCACTTCCTGTTTGAAGTCTCTAGGACACAGGTGGCCCATCAGGGTAATCTGATAGCGGGTCAGGAGATATTTTGCTGATGTTGACCATCTGAAGGAACTGCTCCCTGTAGCTCCCAGTGGCTGCAGTTCTCTGTTCCTGGCCAATGGGAGCTATGGAGGAGGGGCCTGCAGCCAAAGGGGCTGCATGGACTTGGCTGCTGCTTCCCACAGCTTCCAGACTAGGAACAAAGAACTGGGAGCTGCAGGGAGCAGCTCCTCCAGAGGGTCAACATCAGCAAAATCTCACAACCTGCTATCAGATTACCCTGACGGGCTGTCTGTGGCTCTCAGACCACAGGCTGCCCACTACTGATCAAGGAGCTACTGCAATAGTACTATTACTAATTGCACAGATGAAACTGAATTGCAACTGCATCTTTAGGTGACCTGCTGCCTTGGCAAATAGAAACAAATATGTCATTACTTCTAGATATGTTGCTACACTTCTCAGGGAGCAAATGATGTGCACTGATATAACATCTTACAGTACTGATTGTTTTTTTCTTGTTTCACAGAAAGCAAACATGAACAGATGCAGATGTGGTTTAAGCACAGATATATTGGGGAAGCTCTGAATGTTCAACAAGAAAGAAGTCTAACAAGAAATGACTAATACTTTGCTCAAATAACCCAGAGCCAGTCAGTTTGCTTTCAAGCTTACACAAAACTCTTCCTCAGGTCCTGAAGGAAACCTCAAGAATTTTGCAAGCTTCAAAGTTTGTCTCTTTTCAGCAAAAGAAGTTGCTCCAACTGAAAATATTACCTCACCCACCGTGTGCCTTGACAGATCTAGACTGTAATTTTTCATTCTGCCCACAGTTGGCAACATATAGCTGCACTGCCTCAGCGACATACAAGAGAACAAATTGCATCCCAGAGAGTCACAACTCATCTCCTGTTCTTGCTGGAATATCAGTGGTGGTATCTATCTGTTTCAGGTTCTTATGATGCACTCATGCTATCTGAGTGCCTACCCATTCTGTCTGTTATACATGGGCATCAAACACACACACAGGCTGATGAAGTGGGTCTTTGCCCACGAAAGCTTATGCTCCTACACTTCAGTTAGTCTATAAGGTGCCACAGGATTCCTCGTCGCTTTTGCAGATTCAGACTAACACGGCTACCCCTCTGATACTTGACACACAGGCTGGCTGTGTCTACACTGGGCCACTTATTCCGGAATATCAGCCGCTTTTCCGGAATAAGCTGCGAGCTGTCTACACTGGCCCTTGAATTTCCGGAAAAGCAACGACCCTCTACTGTACAAAATCAGCCGCTATTCCGGAAAAACGATTCTGCTCCCGCTCGGGCATAAGTCCTTATTCCGGAACACTGTTCCGGAAAAGGGCCAGTGTAGACAGCCCAGTAGTCTTTTCCGGAAAAAAAGCCCCGATCGTGAAAATGGCGATCGGGGCTCTTTTCTGGAAAAGCGTGTCTACATTGGCCACAGACGCTTTTCTGGAAAAAGGGCTTTTCCGGAAAAGCAGCCTGCCAATGTAGACGCTCCTTTTCTGGAAAAACTGAAAACGGAACAGTATTCCGTTTTAAGCAGTTCCGGAAATTCATGCCAGTGTAGACACAGCCGCTGTGTCTAGACTGGCATGATTTTGCGGAAATACTTTTAACGGAAAAGTTTTCCCGTTAAAAGTATTTGCGCAAAGCATGTCTAGATTGGCGCGGCGGTATCGTTATAATGATGCGCTTTTGCACAAAAGCACGTCTACATTGGTGGGATGCTTTTGTGCAAAAGCAGAAGCCTGGAACCATTTTGCAGAGGGCAAAAGGGCACCAGTCCTTTCCGGAGGGAGGGGAAGAAGTGGGGGCTGGAGCTCCTTTGAGACACGGGCTTAAAGGGATCTCCCTGGACAGCCGTTTCTCTCCTGCTGCGTGCAATAGGACCTCTTGCAGGGACTGACAGTCGTAGCAGTTTTGGGGGTTGTCCTCTACCTTTTGCCACCTAGTGCTTTTGCCTGTTTTTTTTTCTTTCGCCTTATTTTGTCTGCCATGGACCCAGGAGTGGCCATGTGCCTGCTCTGGCCCCTGCCGGCCATTTTGGAGTGCCTGCAGTTGGTGCTCCAGGCTCGTGCCCTTCTCTTTCAGGACCAGGAGGCGCAGATCACTTTGGACTCCCTCATCACGGAGGCCATGGCGTCCCTGTGGCATCCCCACCCCAGGGTGGAGAGGCCACTGTGGAGACTGGACACCAGTACGAACTGGTGGGACAGGCTGGTCCTGGGGCAATGGGGCGACCAGCAATGGCTCCGGAACTTCCGCATGCGAAAGCGGACCTCCCTGAAGCTGTGTGCCTGGCTTGCCCCTGTGCTCCAGGGAGCCACCACCCGGCTACGGGCACCCATCCCCGTCGACAAGAGGGTCGCCATCGCAGTCTGGAAGCTGGCCACCCCAGACAGCTACCGATCGGTGGCAAACCAGTTCAGGATGGGCAGATCCACCGTCGGTGTCATTGTCATGGAGGTAAGTCCCAGGGGGAGTGGGGTGGGCGGAGGGTGTTGCACTCCATGCCCAGGGGCAGTCAAGACTCCAGGCTGGGTCACCCAGGTGTTTGGGCAGTCCCTCCCTTGCACAGGCCTGCTGGCGGGGGGGGGGGGGGGGGGGGAGCAGCTTCACACAGGGATTAAATCCCTCAGGGAAATGCTTTGATACTAGAAATACTCACCCCTGCCTTATGTGATGTGTTCCCCTGTGTTTCTCTGTACCCTTCTGTAGGTCATCCACGCCATCAACGATGTCCTGCTCCCAAGAGTGATCCGCCTGCGCGACGTGGACGCTACGCTGGCCGGCTTTCCCGCCTTCAGGTTCCCCAACTGCAGAGGAGCGCTGGATGCAACCCACATCCCCGTCCGGGCCCTGGAGCATCGAGCAGCCCATTTCATGAACAGGAAGGGGTACTGCTCGATTGTTCTTCAGGCCCTTGTGGACCACCGTGGCTGCTTCCTGGATGTCTATGCGGGCTAGTCCGGTAGGGCACACGACGCCCGCATCCTCCGCAACTCTGGCCTGTTTTGCAGGCTGGAGGCGGGCACCTACTTCTTCTGGAGGGAGTTTACTGTCAGGGATGTGCCTATGCCCATCTGTATCATCGGGGACACGGCCTACCCTCTGCTGCCCTGGCTAATGCAGCACTACACAGGGTGGCTGGACCAGAACCGGGCCCGGTTCAACGACCACCTCAACCGGGCCTGGAATCAAGTGGAGTGCGCCCCTGATCCCGTCTTGAGATGGGTGAGCGGAATGCAACGGAGGTACTGGCCGCGTGCTGCGTGCTCCACAACACTGTGGAGCAGAGGGGGGAGGCCTTCCTCCCTGCATGGATGGCAGCCGAGGGCCAGGGCTATGAACAGCCCCACACAGCTGCCATCCTCCAGGCGCACCAGGATGGGGTGCGCATCTGAGAGGCTCGGTCTCCCTTGACAACTCCCTCCTATACTTTCCCCTTTCCCCTCCCCTTACCTCCCAATAAACACCAAACACAAGTTTTGTTTTGAACAGAAAAAACTTGTATGTTTTTATTTACAAGGGGGAGAGGTGGAGGAGATCTTGAACTGGGAGGAGGAGGAGCTACTCCTTGGAGGGGTGGCACTTGCAAGCGCTCCTGCGGGGGCGGACCTGCACATGGGGGGCAGGCCGCATCGGGGCAGG